TACCTGGGGTGACAGTACATTGGGATGCCCACGTATTAGACCCCATACGTTGCCGTATCGTCATACAATTGGGAGAATACCACTGAGATTACTGCCCCCCTCGATAAACCTGTCGTGGGTTAGTATAGACCAAAAGTTACCTATTGGCTTTTCCCGTATCTTCGTACACCCGAATCTAAACCTTATAAGCCTCAAGTACGTTGAACGACTATTAAAAAAAGCCCAATTAGAAAATATCTCATAAGATATATTATATGCACACAGGATGGGGCTATACCAAGTCGTAGAGGAAGTAGCGAAGACCCTGGAAACCGTAGACGGGTTCTGCTTGTGGCAGTTATGTGATGTAAAACACCAACTAGAACAAGACCGTGACACTCGGAAAGCACTATATAAGAAGTACCATAGACCTTTCAATACCGTAGACGAGACTGATACTGCCCTTATGGCAACCAGCATGGGACTAGGGGCGGCAGGTGTTGGGTTGTTAGCCACCATAGTGGCCACACCTATAGTGCTAGGAATTGAAATAACAGCTGGGGTGGTAGGGGTGGCAGGGTTGGTGTTTAAGTTTGCATCCCGCAGACTGCATCGCAAGGCACTGAAACACGACGAGATCAGGGTTCTGGACGAAGCAAAGCTGAACACGGTAAGTGAGCATATTTCCACGGCACTCACTGACAGTAAGATCTCAGAGGAGGAATTCCGCTCAATCCTCTCTGAACTCGACAAGTACCGTAAGATGAAACAAGAAATCCGGTCAAAGTCTCGTAAGTCTGCTATCAGTGAAGACGAGAAAAAAAAGTACATAGAACAGGGGGTACGAAAAGCCCAGCAAGCCTTTATTACGAACACCAAAGAGATCAAAGGCGATTCACATTAAACTGTTTCATCGAGGTCAACGTGACATAGAGCTATCACGTGATCAGTAAGTGGCACGTGGGGTCGGGAAGTTAACTGGGGCTCAAAAGTAGTAGATATACTGGGGCGAGATCTAAAGGCCTGACAAAAGCTGTATTTGTGAAATAAAGCTTTGCAGAGGCTTTTGTTGGACTTGATCTCGGACTATCATTATATCTACTACTCAAGCAGAAGGTATGCTCCCAACTTATTATCGGCGCGAATGTACTTACAGAAGTGAAAACCGGTTTGGTTGAAGGCGAGCACCCAATGAAGTACCCATTTTCAACTGTATAACATGTGGACATACATGGTAAACATCTACTAGAGCATTATATTATACAAACATGAGTTATGGTAGCCATTAGTTTGACATCGTGTCAGCGCATACATAATCCGTTATAATATGTCAATAGCTCTGCATATGTCTGATGACTGTCGACTTGTGCAATGTGTTTGATGAATGCCGATATGTGCCATGTGTCTGATGAATGACGACATGTGTCATAAAACTGTTGACTGCCAACATGTCATGTGTCTCTTGACTACCGACATGTGTCATGTGTCTGATGAATACTGACATGTGTCACGTGTCTGTTGACTGCTGACATGTCATGTGTCTGATGATTGCTGCCCTCATGATGATTGCTATGTCTCATGACTGCCGACATGTGTTATCTTACTGCCGACATGTGTCCTATGTCTGATGACTCAGGATATGTGTCATATGTCTGAAGAATGCTGACAAGTGTCATGTGGAGGTTTACTGACGACATGTCATGTGTCTGTTGACTGTCGACATGTGTCATGTGTCTGATGAATGCTGACATGTGTCATGTGTCTATTCACAGCCGACATGTCATGTAATGTTGACTGCCGACATGTGTCATGTTTCTGTTGACTGCGGAAATGTGGCATGTGTCTGATGACTGCCGACATCTGTTATGTGTCTGATGAATGCTGACATGTGTCATGTGTCTAATGACTGCCGACATGCCATGTGTGTGTTGACTGCCGACATGTGTCATGTGTCTGAAGAATGCTGACATGTGTTATGTGTCTGTTGACTGACGACATGTCATGTGTCTGTTGATTGCCAACATGTGTCATGTGTCTGATGACTGCCGACATGTGTCATGTGTCTGTTGATTGTCGACATGTGCCATGTGTTTGTTGACTGCCGGCATGTGTCCTATATCTGTTGATTGCCGACATGTGTCATGTGTCTGTTGACTGCCGACATGTGTCATGTGTGTGTTGGCTCCCTACGTGTCATGTGTCTGTTGACTGCCGACCTGTGCAATGTGTCTGTTGACTCCCGACCTGTGTCACGCGTCTTTTGCCTGCCGACATGTTTCATGTTTCTGTTGGCTCCCTAAGTGTCATGTGTCTGATGACGGCCGACATGTGCAATGTGTCTGTTGACTCCCGACATGTGTCATTCGTCTGTTGACTGCCGACATGTGTCATGTGTCTGTTGACTGCCGACATCATGTCTGACTGCCGACATGTGTCATGTGTCAGAAGAATGCTGACATGTGTTATGTGTCTGTTGACTGACGACATGTCATGTGTCTGTTGATTGCCAACATGTGTCATGTGTCGACATGTGTCATGTGTGTGATGACTGCCGACAAGTGTCATGTGTCTGTTGATTGCTGATATGTGCCATGTATCATATTACTGCCGACATGCGTCATGTGTCTGATGACTGCCGATGAGGTTTATGTGTCATGACTGCCGACAAATGCTTTCTTCATTGCCCTGACCCATGTCCCTGTCCTACTTAAATGCCTAACTCTTCCTTATTTCACTAGCTTTGGATCCAGTAGTTTCTAAATGCCTAGCTCTGGTTCACAACACTGACGCCAGACAACCCCTTGATAATGGTCGTCTTGGTGACAATCAATACTAGACACAACATTGAATAATGCATTAGCTTCTTTGAAAATAAAATCGAAAATAGGATTGTTGTTATACAATTAGGCGGTCTCTACGCAGTGGTAGCAGTCGCTACAGTATACCTGCTTCACGCTGTATGCACCGCCATCGGGCTGGGGACAGACATATTATCTAATATACGAAAATCCGAACATAACCATCAACATCATGAGCGATTATCAGGAGGGGACTTACCTGTGACACAATCGGGTTACACTGACTGGAATCCATCAATCGGACGTGAGTACTGTGTGTATTCTACACTAGCCATTGCATCTCAGTGTAGAACTTGGGTACAAGTGAGCACTGTTCCTTAATATTGGTTACGTATTATTATAATCAAGCTATACGCCCGTGTTTGGGAATTTGATTGTACCCGTAATGAGAAAATGTATAGTTATCATCAGTAGTATTGTTGGTGGAAGTACAAGCTGCTCTGCCGGATCCGTGATTAATATGCACGAGAACTCATTCATCTGATAATGAATGCATGACGTCACAGGTCAGAACGGTGAATGAGCCCTTGTTTCATTTAATTCGGTCGTGTTTTTTTGCATGAAACCTTTCATGAAGCGAAAACAAAGCATAGTTCAAATGATGCGCGCAATAACGAGGTAGTTATGTCACCCTGAATTGTATATAACACTGAATTACACGAATGCACTTGGATTTATAAAACTCGTGCTCTCCAGAGCGTGCGACCTACTTTGTTGAATAAAGAGAACTTTATATTCAAAATGTTAATACAGGGTGTGACTTGAAACTATTGAAATCAATTTGTGTCTGATGACTGCCGACCTGTGTCATGTGTCTGTTGACTGCAGACAAATGCGGTGTTCATTGCCCTGACCCATGTCCCAGTACTTTCTAAATGCCTAACTCTGGTTCATCACACTGACGCCAGACAACCAGTCAATAATGGTTGTCTTGGTGACAGCCAATACTCGACACAACACTGGATAATGCATTGGCCTACAAAAGCCTTGTGCTTCTTTGAAAATGAAAGCGAAAATAGGATTGTTGCTTTACAATATTAGGCGACCTCTACGCAGTGGTAGCAGTCGCCTCAGTATACATGCTACACGCTGTATGCACCAACCTCGGGCTTAGGACAGACACATCATCCAATATACAAAAATCCAAACATCACCATCAGCATCATGAGTGACTATCAGGTGGGGACTTAACTGTGACACAATCGGATGACACTGACTGGAATCCATCAATCGGACGTGAGTACTGTGTGTATTCTACACTAGCCATTGCATCTCAGTGTAGAACTTGGGTACAAGTGAGCACTGTTCCTGAATATTGGTTACATATTATAATCAAGCTTTAGGCCCGTGTTTGGAAACTTGATTGTACCCGTAATGAGAAAAAGAGAAACCGTTACAGTCAATCAGTTTACTGTTGTGTACAATATAGAATACAAATAACAAAACAGTGGTTTTGTGTACAACATTGATAAATCATAAACAGCAATGCATTGCATATAGATTTAGGATAATCAGAATACATGAAATATATACAAACAACTTAAATAAGGAGTGTTAATATTTATTATATTTAAGGAGAAGCTAGATACATAGGGGATATAACTAAAGGTGAAGCTGAGCACACTTTCATGTCTAGAGAGAGAGCATTACGTAATGTAAGTGAAAATGAATGTAATATGCTTGGATAATAATATCTGAAATAAGTTCAATAAATGTGGATAGATATGTACACAATGCATATTTATCGTCAGTAGTATTGTTGGTGGAAGTACAAGCTGCTCTGCCGGATCCGTGATTAATATGCACGAGAATTCATTCATATGATAATGAATGCATGACGTCACAGGTCAGAACGGTGAATGAGCCCTTGTTTCATTTAATTCGGTCGTGCTATTTTGCATGAAACCTTTCATGAAGCGAAAAAAAGCACAGTTCAAATGATGCGCGCAATGACGAGGTAGTTATGTCACCCTGAATTGTATATAACACTGAATTACATGAATGTACCTGGATTTAAAAAACTTGTTCTCGCCAGAGCGTGCGACCTACTTTGTTGAATAAAGAGAACTTTATATTCAAAATGTTAATCGAGGGTGTGACTTGAAACTATTTTTGATGCAATTATGGAAATATGCTGTATAGAATATAAAATATTCCACGTTCGAGTGATTATCAGGTGGGGACTTACCTGTGACACAATCGGATGACACTGACTGGAATCCATCAATCGGACGTGAGTACTGTGTGTATTCTACACTAGCCATTGCATCTCAGTGTAGAACTTGGGTACAAGTGAGCACTGTTCCTTAATATTGGTTACGTATTATTATAATCAAGCTATACGTCCGTGTTTGGGAACTTGATTGTACCCGTAATGAGAAAAAGAGAAGCAAGCAGTTTACTGTTGAGTGGAGTGGTTTTGCGTAAGATATTGCGTAAATCTTCTGGCGCAATAAGCACAAATGCACATGGGTATAAAAGACCACAATTTCCAAACTGTTAATCACCAGTTTAAGTGAGAATTCAACCGTGATTGACCCTGTTGACCATCCCACGTTTGACACTGGGACAACGAGAAAGAGCAATGGGTTACTTGAATGCTGGATGGTCGACTCGGGAAGTGGCTCAAACACATTCAACTGCCATCGTTCCACAATCGTCAGACTCCGCCAAGGCCCGGCACACTAGACTTACCCGTCAACGTCAGTAGCATTAGGAATGGGTTCCTGCAGCAGGGGTCTACTATAGGGTTATTTGTGTCTAAATCAGGCTCCCTTGGATGGTGAAAAACTGGTGTGTTGGATGGCGGACCATGGTTGGATGTGTCCTTTATTTGAAGTATATTTTCTTGATATATTATGTATGTATGTAGGGGATGAGTTTTGCATTGAAGTAAAAGATGATTGATCTGCGTGAAGTTTTCCTTCAGAAACGGGAGGGATTCGAACGCCAAAACTCTGTCTCTACTGTCCGCATGTTACCTTTACACCAGCAGACTTGCTCTACCACTGAATGTGCATTAAAGCTATGTATAGCTCATACGCCTTCCGTCAGCGGTAGACATGATTATAACATAACGTGTGGGTTTACCTCTAATGGTGTTAATAATTGGACCGGTAGTGTTGTCTTTTCGTTTTGTTGATATAGCCATACAGCAGCTGTGATACCCACGAAATCGACGGTTGGGTAATCATCGGTTTATGATGCGTGCTCACCCCGGCGGCTACTTTTTTCAGATTCTTGGGTTTTCTTCATTATGGTATCAATTACTTGGGGGGTCTCCTCCGCAGGTGTCGAGGTTGTTTTGATGTTCAGTTCCATCATCTTTTATATCATTAGTCAAACATTCATGTTTAAATTGACAATGCTTCGCTGTAACGATCGCCGGGGTGAACATACCATATCAGAGATACAACTGAGGGTGTTCAAGGCGTGACCGATAAACGGATCCGCGTCAAGATCTTCGCACACATAAAGTCGACACTCCGGTGGAATGGGAAGCAGAGACGAAGTTATAACAGTCTAGAATTGCGTTGTAGCTGACCGTATGGTTTTCGTCATTTCAGCACCAAATTGTGCTTCGTATTTCGCGTACAGTTTATTGACGTCTCCATCGGACATGTTATAAATTTTATCTGTGGTGATGTTTTCACCCAAGTATTGTTTCCCCTTCCCACCCACGGCGAGGCCCACGAGTCTTTTTCGTTTAGTCCTGACGTGGGAGGATACATCTTCTTCCTCAGATAACATTTGCTCGAGCATGTTGTCTAACTCCATCTTATAATAGATCAATCGATTTTTTAATCTAACATAATAAAATCCGGCATAACCCAAACAGAACGATATGAATTTCAGGTGAAACATCACGAGAATTTCAAACGTCGTCATGGTTTTTTATATGGGAAAGGTTATCGTGTATACATTTAATTTGCTGAGCAGGTTGCTTGATTTCGCTGAGTGTTGCTTAGCTTACACACCACATAGGCCACGAGTTAGTCTGTTTTCAGCACGAGTTTGGCGTGTTTCATTTCGGCTAACAATGTTCTCAGGCATTCTTGCTCGGGTTTGGTGGCAATCACGTTATTTTCTCTTAAACATTCCTCGAACGAAGCCCTATCCTTGCAGTGAAATAAGGCGACCCATCGCATCTGTTCCCTGAGGTCTTTTAGGACCGAGTTGAATTTTTACGTGAAGACCTAAATGCTGTGTTTCATTTGACGTCCCGAAAACGCTAAATTCGACAACATATCTCGCTTTTTGGTAATTTCTTTATTTTTCGCGCTGCAATCGTCTAGGATAAACAGCATCAATTATGCCTCGAACTTCTCGTGAAAGTTGAGTTGAGTTGAGTTGGGCTTTACGTCACATCGGCATTTTGTCCAGCCATATAGTGATGAGAACAAGTCTGCATTAATATACATTGTAAGTAAAAAGTGGTTTCGTTTCAAAGACACACATTCGTTACATTGTCATTTTGGAACAGAATGTCATAGCACTAAATTGGAAAGCAGGTAAATTCATTAGTGACATTACACAGTTACAATTTATGATATAGATCATATAGATCCCTCAGGTAGTTCAGTATCAGATGAGCGCTCACGCTGGAGAACAGATCTTTCAGATTGGTTGTGTGATAATGCGAGTCCCTTGCAGATGTAAAGTCCACACAGTCAAGCAGAATATGCTTGACGGTGAAAGCCTCATCGCAGGAGAGACATATGGGGGGTCCATCCCCATCCGTTTTTAGCAGATAGTCATGTGTAAATCGACTGTGGCCAATATGACATCATCGTAAAATTACTTCATCACGTCTTGACTGGCATCCCAAGTAGGTATAACCGATTGTTGGCTTCAATTCATGGAGTTTGTTTCTTCCTACTTGAGTGTCCCACCATTTTTGCATCAGGTCCCGAGTATAGCTTCTGATAGTGGGTTTGAAATCACTGTACGGGATTAGCAGTGGAGATAGGGGCTTTTCAGAAGCTGCTTTTGCTGCAGCATCGGCCTTAGTGTTACCTGCTATGCCGACGTGACCGGCAACCAGCAGGGGACGATGTCATATTGGCCAGTAGAAAGGTCGTTGTACAGTTCTAGTATGTCCAGGATGATTGGGTGACTTGAAGTCACGTTTAGAAGTGCTTGAAGGCAGGATAATGAATCTGTAAAAACGATGAAGTTTTTGGACTGATTTTGCTGTTGAATGTAGGTCAAAGCTTTGGCTTCAGCGGTGAAAATGGAACTGTTGTCGGGGATCCTAGAGGAGACAGTCTTGGATCCAATGAATGTAGCACTGGCAACTTGGCCATCGTCCTTGGATCCATCTGTGAAAATGGATCTGTGAGTGTTATACTTCGAACGTAACTGGTTGTATTCCTGTTGGAACACCAAGGGATTTGTTTCAGACTTTTTGAGTTTGGTGAGGGTAAGATCGACCTTTGGTTTCACCATTTGCCATGGTGGTGAGGACAGAAGTCGGTATGCTGCAATGATGTTGAGATCAATTTTAGCTGCAGATATGTGTGGTTTGATCCTGATTCCAAGTGGTGGAACCAGGCTTGGCAGTTTAGGAAATAAGTTTTCATAGAGCGGGTCGAAAACACAATTGTATGCTGGATTGGACTCATTTGAACGTAATTTAGTGATATACTGCAGTGAGAGTTTAATGCAGCGTTGTTCAAGGGAAGGTTCATTGGCCTCCGCATATAGACTGTCTACCGGAGAGGTCCTAAAAGCTCCCAGGCAGAGCCTCAGCCCTTGGTGGTGGACAGAGTCTAACTTTTCTATATTGCTTTTGCAGGCTCCATCGTAGACAATGGCGACATAATCTAGTTTACTGCGAACTAATGATCTGTACAAGTGAAGGAGGGTGGTCTGATCCCCTCCCCACTCTGAATTTGAGACTACTTTTAGCAAGTCTAGAGCCTTCAAGCACTTTGTTTTCAAATATTTTATGTGTGGTAAGAATGTCAGGTGGCGGTCGAATATGAGTCCAAGGAATTTGGCCTCTTCTACTACCTTGATGGGAGTACCATCTAAAGTTAGGTCTGGATCCTTGTGTGGTTTGTATTTACGACAAAAGTGAATACAATTTGTTTTGGATTTTGAAGACTTAAAACCATTTTCATTGGCCCATTTTTGGATTTTGTTAAGGTAGAGTTGTAGCTGCCTTTCTATTGCGTGCATGTTCTTACCACGACATGAAATATTGAAGTCATCCACGAAAAGGGACCCGTCAACGCAACTGTTCAGAACGTTAGTGAGGCAGTTAATTTTGATGCTAAAAAGTGTGACAGACAGGATGCTGCCTCGGGGGACGCCCTGATCTTGGTGGAAATAGTCAGACAGTGTGGAACCCACCCGAACTTGAAATTGTCTGTTATTTAAAAACTGAGATATAAATTGAGGTAGTCTACCCCTCAATCCAAACTCGTGTAAATCTTTTAGGATACCATGTTTCCACTTTGTATCATATGCTTTTTCTAAGTCGAAAAAGATAGATACGGTATGTTGTTTGTTGACAATGGAGTTTTTGATGAATGATTCGAGACGCACCAGATGGTCAATGGTACTTCGGTTTTTTCGGAAACAACATTGGAGGTCACTGAGGAGGTTATTGGTCTCCAAGTACCAGATTAATCGATTGTTGACCATGCGCTCCATGGTTTTGCAAACGCAGCTAGTTAGTGATATAGGACGGTAGTTTGAGGGATCAGTATGATCGCGGCCGGGTTTTGGTATAGGGATGATAATGGCATTGTGCCACGAAGGGGGGAAGTGTCCGGATGTCCAGATGTCATCAAATATATTTAGGAGTGTTTCCAAGCCTGTGTCAGGGAGGTGTTTCAGAGGCTGATAATGGATTTCATCAGCTCCTGCCGCAGTGTCGTGGGCCTGTCCTAGGGCAGTACGTAATTCATGGAGGGAAAACGTTTCGTTGTAATCCTCCCCATTATCAGAGTTAAAATTGACTGGTTTCTTGTTGGGTTTGGTATTTCTGGAACTGAGGGTTATAATTTGATGAGGAGGAGTGGTTTGCCAAAGTTTCGCCAAGTTTGTTTGCAATTTCAGATTTATTTGTTAGGAGGGAGTCACCATCTTTCAGGTATTGAACTCCTGATTTTGACCCTTTGCCCTTAATCTTTTGAATTATGTTCCACACCTTGGACATGGGTGTGCGGGAGTTGATTTTTGACACATATTTTCTCCATGACCGGCGTTTAGTTTGTTTGAAGG